AGGGACCTCAATAAGTTGCTGGACACAGAATCAACAAGCAAATATCTCCTATGTTATATAAGCAACAGCCCTCAGAAAATGGTGTTTTTAAAATATCCTATTTACAAAAGCATAAAAATAATAAATACCTAATTATGTGACAAACGTTGTACATGACAACCACCTGTAAAATGTATAAAACGTTTTAGAGTCACTAAAGATTTATATTAAAAGGAGAACTACGCATGTTCATGGGTTGGAAAACTCAATACTGTAAAGATATTACTTCTCCTCAAATTAATTTATAAACTTAATACAGTCCCAGTCAGAATCTCAAAAAGATGTCTGTGGAACTTGAATAGCCAATTCCGAAATGTTTATGGACATGCAGAGAGCCAAAACTACCCAAGACATTTTTGAAGAGCAAGATGGGGTTTAACGTACTCTACCCAATATCAGTGTATTGTGAGTTTAGTAATGAAGGCATCGTGCCCTTGGCACTGAGTTGGACAAGCAGGCTGCTGGAACAGATTGGAGAGCCCTGAAAAGGACCCATTTGCGTGTACACAGGATTTACCACAGAAGCGTCACTGCAGAAAAGCAGGGAAGGGCAGCCTTTGCACTTAGTGCTGGGGCAGTTGGGTCTCCATATGGGAAAGAATTAAATTAGACCCATATTTCATATCACACAAAAACTCGTGTCAGGTCGATTAGAAACCTAAATGTGAAAGACTAGACCATAGAGTTTTTAGAGATATTATTGAAGAATATCGGCTGCCAAGAAGCCTGCAGTGACTGAACTTGACTGACCTGGCTCCCTCACCGTAGCTTACAGATCCAGGTGGGACTGTGCTTGGCCGAGGCTGAGAAATCTGTTTCTTCATCATCTCCTTTGCTGCCGCTGCAGCTGCCATCAAGAAGCCTGCTCTCAGCCTTAAGGGGAATTCCTCTCTCAGCCCCTCCGCTGGGAGGCCTGCAGGGTAATGGGAAACGCCACCGCTCTAAACACCACGGATTGCTTTTTATGAATCCACCCCTGTTGAAATCTTTTCAGTTTTGTTAAGTCCAATATCATTTGCAGGAATAAAAGGACTCATGTTATTAGAACCACCCAAAAGATGGTGGAAGAATTCTGAAGGTGAGGGCGTGGCATCCTTGCTTAGCTGTGGCAGCACTCCAGATGCTGGAAAACTTGCCACCATTTCTACCTCTCAGACTTGTAAAGCATGCGGCTTGGTGTCCAAGTGGGATGCCAGCCCCCTGGGCTGAACTGCTAACAGGCAGTGTGATGAAAAGTCACTTTCTGTGTGAGCTCCAGACACCCACTGCAGTGACTGCACTTTCAGAAACAGAAGAGGGGCGTCGAACCATCACTGCCGTGTAGAAGAGGTCCTTTGGATCCACGTCTTTATTACTTGTATTGTTAGATTTCTTAACGTTTGCCACGCCGAAGGGCACATGCCACACCTCTGAGACGGCAGTCACACTTGAAACATTAGGAGAAATCCTGAAGGATGTCTTGGGACTAAAATGCAAAGATGAGGTGGTGGCATAACCACTTTATACAGGAGTGGAGAGAAACGGAGACGCGGGAGAGCTGGGAGGTTCTTTCCTGGTGCTCATGCAGCTGAAGGTAACTGTCATCATAATGCCTGTGCTACAAACTCCGCTTCCTGTGATCAGGAGCAGTATTTTCGGTCCACGGTTGGGAATCCTTGGATGCATGTCCTACATTTTATATGGGGTTTTAAATATCTGCAGATTTTGGTATCCCCAGGTTTTCTGAAACCAATCCTCCCTGGATAACAAGAGATGACTGAATTTTGGGGGAGTCAATGGTTGCATGAAGATTTTTTACTGAATGGGGGTGGCCAACCCAAAGCCCCATTTGTACTTCCGGCAGCCGGCTTTGATGGGAGGATTCTGGATCATCCCTGACATCCTGGAGTGGACAGTGATGTCATTATAATTACCGTGGGTGCCTCAGCAGGCCTTTATTAAGTCTATGTAGCATCTCTACTTGGTGCTTGAGCAGATGCCAAGGTGGCAAAAACTCCTATATTCTAACTGAAACCCCGAATCCATTGAAAAATTATGTTACGAGTATTTTGCAATCTGTTGTTGCCAATCCAGAATTTTAAAAATCACCTGAAAGGGCTGTGATTCCCTGCTCCCAAAGAATGTCTTATTCTCCATCAAGGCCATGCTGCTGCTCAGGGAACAGGACATTCTTACTTACGTAACAGAGGAGGAAATCTGGTAGAGGTCGAGTTGTTGTGACCAAAAATGATCTGTCAATTGTTGAGAGCAAAGGAAATGGCTGAGCAGTTAGCTGACAGATATGACCAAGGGAAAACAAGAGGATATGGCTAGAAAGAAAAGAGTTCTCCACAGTTTTCACCCTCAAATCCCTTTTCTCTATGAATAGGAGAGACATGAAGGCAGAATTGCAGGTGCTACCTGATCAGCTTGAATGTTTAGGCAGTGCCCTCAAACAGGTTCCTATGAAAATCAACAGGAGACCAAGTCCACCAAAACCCACCTTTCCTCAAGATTCTGACGGGAAAAGTGCACTCGGCCCATCCAGAGGGAGGAATGTAGTACGTAAGGGAAATGGCAAGTGACTGATACCCGAAATCACAGGAACAGACTCACACTGAAGCTAAACACAATGAGGGCCTAAGCCCACACTGCAGAACAGATAAGAGGTAGTATTATCTAATGCCTAAAACATTTTGAATGAAAATATATCTTCATGATTTGAGGTTAGAGAAGAATTTCTTGAACCATGCACAATGAACAATAAAAGAAAAAAAAACCTGTTAAACTCAACTGCATCAAACTTAAGGACTTATCTCCATTATGGAAAAAAATAAGAATAATACAAGTTAAACAGGCAAGCCAAGGACTGACAAGAAAAGGGACTGGTATGTAGAATAAAAAACAACTCCTACAAATCAATACGAAAAAAGACAGGAAGCCTAATAGAAAAATATGCAAGAGATATAGAAAATGTCCAATAAACATTTAAAAGCTATCCAACCTATTATTCATCAGAAACACAATGAAATACCACTATACACCAGGTTAGTCAAAAGTACAAAGTTTGCCAGGACCAAATATGGTGAAGATAGGAAATAATATAAACCCTCATGTCTGTTGTTAGGGGAGTAAATTGGTACAACTACCTTGGAAAACTATTTGGAATTATCTACTAAAGCTGAACATATGGATGCCATATGACCCAATCTTTCTACTTCGAACTGATATAGTCAACACATGCACCAAGAGACATGTATAAAAATATATAGTTCATGGCAGCATATTTATAGTTCCTCGGGATTGAAAACAACCCAAATATATCATTAAACTAAGTAAGTTGAGGTATGTTCCTATAATGGAAAACTATAGAGCAAAGATAATCTATTGCTACATATAGCAACATGGGTGAATCTTATAGACAATGTCAAGTCAAGGAAGTAAAACATGAAAATGTAGTGTATGGTTGCATTTATGTCAAGTTCATTAACGGACAGAAATTAACTATAGTGTGAAGGAATATGTATTCGTCCGCTGGAACTGCCCTAACAAAAGACGTGGACTGTGTGGCTTAAGCGGCTGACGTGTATTTTCTCTGGAGGCGCGAAGTCCAGGAGCCACGTGCCAGCATGGTTTCCGGTGGGTCTTCTTCCAGCCTTCTCCCTGTGTGTGTGCACCAGGCCACCGCCTCCTCTTTGAGTGCGGTGAGGAAGAGAGCAGCTCGGGGGGCGTGGGGTGGGGTGAGGGGTGGGCGGTCTCTCCTTACAAGGATAAGTAATCCTATCAGCCCCACCTTATGACCTCATTAACCTTAATTACCTATCTCTAGATACAGTCACATTGGAAGTTAGGGCTTCACCGTGTACATTTGGGGCAAAACAGTTCATTCTGTAGCAGAATGAAAAGTAATAATGAAAAGCAAAACAAGGAAGTGATTACAATATTAAGGGATAGTGAGTATCCCTATAAAGCAAAGTCAGAAAGTCAGGATAGAGGTTATCTAAGGTATGAACAGAAAAGGAATTGTGATTACTAGAAAATGCCTTGGTGGCTATGTTTTGTTTCTTGACCCACATAACCATTCATCTTATAAATTATTTGTTAAATGTCACGTTTAAATTGTGTTTACTTTTCAGTGTGTGTTATACTTAACAATATAAAAAGGTTTTTTTAAAAAAGGAAAACATTGTGTTCTCATTTCCTATTCTGCAATCTGTTAACATCGATGCTCTATTCCATTTTACTTTATTTTTGATAGGGGATTGTACTTTACTGTTTTGACTTCTGATTCCTCATAAAAATTATTTTTATATATTAATTTTTAAATCATAATAATGGTAAATTTAAGATGTTCAGTGATGTTTTTTTCTTCTGGAATACTTTTAAAATATATTTCCTAATATTATAAGGAATTCAGTTGAAGTTATATTTTTGTCCTTAAATATGTTCCCATGTAGATAAAGATTTCCAGCTTCACTTGTCCCTGGCCTGCACTTTATTAAGGTTGAATGCTTTGTTAGAAATATATTTGGTCCTATTAAAGATTCTCTTTAGCTGATAAGATTAAGAAATAGAGGAGGTTTTCAAAAGTGGACTATCCCCAAATACAATCAATAAAAGAAATGCTGACTAAATAGTTTTTATATGGCTCTACTTTCTTCTGATATAATTGAGTCAAGTTGTTATAACTACTTGCATCAACCCTCTAGAAGGATTCTGAACTGCTGTCACGGTCAGAAAGTTACATAGGAATCTGATTTCCTCCTCACCCTGAAAATTAACCCCACCAATTCAAGGGACATCTAATAACCCTACCCAGATTGGCTGTGGGCTAAGATGGCAGTAGGTGGTGATTCTTAGTCTGAACACATCCTTAGTCATATTCCAAAACCCAGTCATTTGTCAATACTACATAGAAGAAACAATAAATCATTAGGTTATCCCTTAAGAAATTTTTCATCAACATATGCTTTCTCTTCTAGATAATTCGCTCCTTTCTGCTCTTTCCAACAATTGAGCGAATGTCCGAGTCACCCAATGGCAGGATTGCCACTCCATTTTTGTGCTGGCTTCGATATGCTCTCTATGTTTCTACCTACTTACTACTTAAGCCATGTCCGGAGACAGTCAAGTCCTGGCTGATCAAAATGGGCCTTCAGAGGATGAACGTGCAGAGTGAATTTTCGGTCCTGAGTGTGTTGGAGCCATTCTGCCTTGGTAAGCACATTTAAAACATATGGGTTTATTCTTGAATCAGAAAGCATTAAGAGAATAATCTCAGACAATGGATGAATATCAACCAAAGAATTCTGTGTTGGAATTTTTTCTTCCAAAAGTTTAAAACTAGAAATAACATGAGAATAGAGTAAGGAGAGTTCTGTTTAATAGATAGAAAAGACTCTTCAAGTTTTAATTTTAAACCTTATCCTGCTATTTCTCCACTCTAGCTGCAGAAAAAAATTTTCTGTACAAAGTATACTTGGGATCAAACCAGCAACATAGGTATATGCCCTGACTGGGAATCAAACCCAGAAAATTTCATCTTGGATCAACCGAAGGACTTGTATATATGCATATAAGTACAACCAATGGACATAAAACTCTGGGGAAGGAGGGGATGTGTGGGAGGGAAGGAGGGGGGAAAAAAATCAATAATATATATAAAACAAAAAAGACAATAGATGCCAATACCAAAATGACAGAGAATTATTTGGCAAAAATTTTAATGTAGCCATTATAAAGTGCTTCAATGAGCAATTAATGAACATGTGAAAAAAATAGAAAGTGTCAGGAAAGAGATTTAAAGAAAAACTGAATGGAAATTTTAGAACTGAAAAATACAATAACCAAGATTTAAAAATTACTAATTTTTAAAATTGAAAGTGGAGCCAAAACCGGTTTGGCTCAATGGATAGAGTGTTGGCTTGGGGACTGAAGGGTCCCGGGTTCGATTCCGGTCAAGGGCATGTACCTTGGTTGCGGGTACATCTCCTGTAGGGGGTGTGCAAGAGGCAGCTGATCGATGACTCTCTCTCGTCGATATTTCTAACTCGCTATTTGTCTCCCTTCCTCTCTGTACAAAATAAATAAAATATATTTTAAAAATAAAATAAAAATAAATAAATAAATAAATAAATAAAAGCAACACATTTAAAAAAAAAAATTTGAAAGTGGAAAGTCTCACCAAGAAAGTGGGAGGGACAGAAGAATTGGTAGACACAAGGTTAGAACAGTATAAATAGAAATTTCCCAAATTTGGCAAAAGACATGAACCTACAAATTCAAGAAGCTAGATGAATTCTAAATAGAATAACCCTAAAAAACCACACCACAATATATCATAACCAAACTTTTAAAAGCTAAAACAAAGAAAATGTCTTGAAAGCACCTGGAGAGAAATGATACATTAATTATAGAGGAAAATCTATTTGAATGACAGCTGGTTTCTCATCAGAATCTTTAGAGGCCAAAAGAAATGACACATATTTCAAGTGCAAAAATAAAATAACTATCAATACAGAATTATATATTCAGTGAAAATATCCTTCAGGGGAAAAATAGGAAATTAAGACATTTTTGAATGAGGAAAAACCAAAGGAATCTGTAACTATAAGATGTAGCATAAAAGAATCTCTGTAAGAAGTTCTCTAAACATTAAGTAATAAAAGAAGGAATCTTGAAACATTAGGAAAGGAAAAAAAACTGCAGGAAAAAAAAGTGAGAAATTATATTTTCTCGAGATTTCTAAATTATGTTTTAACAGTTGAAGCAAAAATTATAACACTGATATGGCTCTAAATATATACAGAAGAAGTATTTAAGACAATTATAAGTAGGGAGGGTAAAGAGAACAAAAAGAAGTAAGGTTTCTCCATTTCACTTGAATTGGTGAGACATCACTACCAAAAGATTATATGTATAGTCTATTGGTATATATTGCAATATATATTACAATACCTAGAGTAACCACTTAAAAATCTATACAAAGAGATACTAAAAAACACCACAAGTAAATAAAAATTGAATTTTAAAACATATTTAGTAGCCCTAGCTGGTTTTGCTCAGTGTTAGAGCATCGGCCCATGGACTGAAGGGTCTCAGGTTTGATTCCAGTCAAGGGCACATACCTCAGTTACAGGCTCAATCCCCAGCCCAGTCGGGGCACATGCATGAGGCAACTGGATGTTTCTCTCACCATCTCTACCCTCCCTTCCACTCTCTCTAAAAATCAATGGAAAAAAATATCTTTGAGTGAGGATAAACAAGACAAAACAAAAAAGAAATTCAGTAATACAAAGAAAGACAAAATAAAAAGCATAGAGAAACAAAAAAGAAAACAAACAATAAAATGACACAAGCTCTAAAATACCGATAATTACATTAAATGTAAATGGCCTAAATACATCAATTAAAAGACAAAGATGGGCAGAGTGAAATTAAAAAAAAAAACATAACTAGTATATACTGTCTTCAGAAAACTCAGTTCAAATTAAATTATTTATGTAGATTGAAAGTAAAAGAATGGGAAGATACATATCATGCAAATGTTGGTCAAAAGGAATCAGGAATGACTGTTAATACGGGTATCCCCCACTTTCCAAATTTCAGATTGCACCACTTTCACAAAATACTTACATTGGTAACCTGTTTTCACTAGCTAGAAGAAATTCAGAGGATTTTCACTTAAAAATAAAACAAAAAACATTACCACACTAATGTTGGACTTCTGTGAAAGCGAAGTGGCATAACGGAAACTTTTAGAAAGCAGGAGAGACTCTTCAGTTTGTGCCGTTTGGCTAGAAAAGATTTCATAGGAATGCTCTACTTTCGGATAGCAGGGGAGACCTGTATCAGACTTCAGAGCAGAGAGAATTTTCAGAGACAAAGAGGGACATTACATAATAGTAACAAAGAGGGCAATCTATCTAGAAGATATAGCAGTCCTAAATGTGTATGCACCCAATAAGATTACTACAAAATATAAGAAGCAAAAGCTGACATAACCGAAAGGAGTAATAGACAAATCTACGAACATATATGGATACTGAAACACCCTTCTCTCAACAATTAATAGAACAAGGCAGAAAATTAACAAGGATATAGGAAAATTCAACAATAGTACCCACCAACAGGATTTAATAGACATTTATTGAACACTCCACCCAAAACATCAGGATTTTTTTATGGGCATTAGATGAGCAACAACCTGTACTTCCCTTGTGTCTCCTTGGAAATATTTTCTAAACCAAAATCAGGACATAGGAGATAAGAAAGTTTTACTTGTTTCTCTATGTGTATTTAATGACCTATATACAGTTGTCCTGGAGCATCCATGGGGGATTGGATCCAGGACCCACCGTAGACACCAAAATTCAAGATGCGAAAGTCCCTTGTATAAAATGGTGTAGTGTTTCCATATAACCTATATCTGCATATAGGTTACTGCAAGGTATGCCTACACCTCACTTCAGTTGAGTGGATTTAGCATACTGTTCAGCATATAGAAAATTTCAAGTTTTGCTTTCTGGAACTTTTTGTGCTTTTCAAAAATATATTTTCTACCTGAGACCGAATTCGCAGATGTGTGACCCATGAATACAGAGGGTTGATTGTAGTATGTTACCTATAACAAATAATCAAGTATTTCATGATTTTAATTAAAGCAGGTAATTATTAAAGATGTTTTTCCGTCATTTTTATACCAGAATTACAAACACCCTTGTAAAGAAGTAGTCTTCATAAGCTGCCCCTGAGAGAAAGGAATGCTCTACTTCCAGGGGGCAGGGGAAACCTGTATCAGATAGTAGACTCGGATTTTCCAAAAGTGCGTGTTAATGCCACCTCACTTTTATGAAAGACCAGCATCAGTGTGGTAGTGTTTGTTGTTTTGTTTTTACGTGCAAATCCTCTGCATTTCTCCCGGTTAGTGAAAACAGGTGAACGTATTGTGAAAGTGCAGCTTGAGAGAAGTAGTCTTTGTAAGCTGCAGTGACTGGCCTGCTGCGCCTGCCAGCAGCCCCGGGTGCAGGCATCAAGGAGCGCGGCAGTAGGGACACAGGACACACTCCCCTCCGTGACTCGGCAGCTGGAGCCTTCCAGCTCTGTGCATTGCTGCTTGGAGAACCCTGGGATTCCTCTCCCACACGTCCATAGGTATGCTCTATGCAAAGTAGACCCTGTAAGTGTACACCAAACGGAACACTCGGCCGCATCGCTTCATCTCTCTTCCAACCAACCAACCTGCAAACAAATATGAGAAGCACAGCCCTCCTATTTTTGACAACCCTTCCTCTTCTGATTTTTTTTTTTCCCCTTCATTCTAGACCTGGCCTTCTGATGTTCAGGTAACCAGTACTTCAGTGGTCTCCGAGAATTTTTTCCCCATAGATCACTCAGTCTGTATAACCTTCAGTAAAGATAAAGGGATGGGTTTTTGGTTCAGTCTCCTAGTAGTGACTCTCAGATGCTCCTTACCCAAGCCTCTAAATCCTCCTAGCCAGGTGTTCCCAGCATCCCCTTTGAGTCCCATGTCGCCCTTGCCTCCTCTTGCAAACAACTGCAACAGAAGCCAACTTTGCCCAGGCTTGCCCTGGCCATCCCTTAAGTGATTCCTGTTACCTTGCTTATTACAAATAGAAGAAGGTCCCAGCTGAAAGGAAACAATACTTATACGGCACTGGCCCTTGCAGGTGATTCGTGGAGTCTTCCCAAGCTTGTATTCCATGAATGGTGAAGGGAATCAGCCACGTGAGTCTGTGGCCTGGCTTTTCAGGTTACACCAAGAGAGGGGTTATCAAGAGAAAGGAAGACCAGATCCAAGATCCTTCTCAGGGGCCATGCTCACTGTGCCCTCTGGACGTCCCCCTGCAGACCTGTTTCTCTGTGGCCTGCATCCAGACAATGACCTTCAATATGCCAGCTTGACTTTCAGGCCTTGCGGTGTTTGCACATTATGTAATGTCTGTGCTTCGGGAGAAATCTTACGGAAACAAACGGAGGAAGTTTGCCAGTCCAAGTAGTGGATAATAAATCCTGCCTGTCGAGGTGGAAACTCGTTTTCTGTAGCCTTGGTTTGTGCACACATTTTGTTGTTGTTGTTGTTGTTGTGCACACATTTTGTTGTTGTTGTTGTGCACACATTTTGTTGTTGTTGATAATGATGATGTAAGGTCTGAAAAATTCAAAGAACCAACATATTCAAGTATTTCAAATGCTGTTGCCTGTTGGCAAAGATGACATGTCCCTTCCTCTGAACTGAGATTGTGGGCCTCGACCTTCTTCACCAGGCTGAGTCCTGCAGCCTCATTTCCCACCCACCCACCCAGCCTTCAGAGCAGAGCGGCCGCATTCGGTTAGCATATGTTGGAAACTTCACCAGTGTCCAATCTGTTCGCTTGTGTCACTAGATTGTTTTCAGTGTTCTTTTTAAAGAAAATACATGGGGGTTTTCTTTCACTTTCATGCTGAAATGTTTGCTACTACATATTTTCCTTAGAATAGATGTTCTTCTGTTTCATGAGAAATAGACTTTTCACTGAGACAGCTAAATTGGATTTTCTGATCAAAGCTAAAAGCAAATACATTTAGCTTAGCAGTATCACAGGTCAAGATAATTAACTTTAAAAAATATTCTAGGGTCTTTTCCTAAGTTAGGCCAAATTGGTGTTTTAATTCTTTTCAGTTACCTAACTAGAAAAACAGTGCAGAGACGGAGGTATTCCTGGCAGGTTACGTTATTCTCCTGTAAGACATTCTTGTAAAAGAAACTTTCCTTTCCTTAGTCAATATGGAAATAACTTTTGAAAACATGTACAGTGATATGGAAGGAACTGAACCATTCAATGAGCTGACACACAAGCTGCACTAAAGAATCACAAAGTCCTCAGAATACATCTAACTCAATCCCAGAATAATGTGTTTTACTTTATAATATATTTTTTATTGATTTCAGAGAGAGGAATGGAGAGGGAGAGAGAGAGAAACACCAATGATAAAAGAGAATCACTGATTGGTTGCCTCCTGCATGCCCCCTGCTGGGAATCGAGCCTGCAACTCAGCCATGTGCCCTTGACCAGAATCAAACCCAGGACCCTTCAGTCCCCAGGCCGATGCTCTATCCACTGAGCCAAACAGACTAGAGCCAAAATAATGATATTAATAAAACAAAGCTAGACTCCCATGTTTCCTCATTTCTCATGATGTGTGTAGGTTAGAAGAATCCACTTATGAAAGCCAACTGCAACTTTAATACTTCATAGAAGTTTAGCCTACAGTTCAGCAATGAAGGAAAAGATTTTTGTGTGTGTATGTGGTCTGTATTAGGATTAAGAGCAAAAGGTGATTAGAGATGGTACTAGAATTTCACTAGAATTAAATGACAAGGTTTTTACTAATTTTTTTCTAAAGAAAATTTTATATATTTAAAAATTACATTTTTTTTTTAAAACCATACACTTTGAGTTGTGTCTTTCACTTTGGCAGACTCATTGTCACCTAGATAAGATTATCTGTTTACAGATCAAATGGATGGTTATAATAGCCAAATTCTTGGCTTATGGAGAAACATATAATACACTGTGTGGATAACAAACATTCCTCTAAGTTCTGCAGAAATTTGGAATGGGAGAATTACATTTTTAAGTCTGGTTCTCACATTGCTAAAAGCCACATTTGGAAAGCAATCTGGAAAAAAAATAAAATAATAAAGAACACCAGAGAGCTCCCCTCGGAAGACTTTCCCTGGTTTCTGGGCCTTTCTGGTCCTGCTTAACCTTCGGCCCGGCTCTCCGGGGTGTGCTCTCAGAGGGCCACACTCCGCCGGAGCACCTGTCTGGATGGAGCTCTGCTGGAGTGAGGGACACTCATGTCTCAGGGCCGTCCTGTTCCCCGGTCCTCAGTCCCTCTGCTACCACGTGGTCCTGCTTGGCTTGCACCTCCCTACTTCCCTGCACTCAGCAACATCTGCCAGCCTCGTGACCAGTCAGATGTGCCGGGAGGGGCCACCCCGGGAAAGGCTTGTTGTCAGTCAGATCCTCCCTCTGCCTCCTCGCAGGGAAGTCCGAATGTAGACAAGGCATGATGCCACCCTTCTCCCCCAGCCACGCGCCAGCATCTCACAGGAGGTTAAGGACAGCAGCAGCCCCCGTGCCGTAACCGGAGCTGCCCAGGAAAGTCCCAGGCCCCGCTTTTCTCGCTATGCTCGGCTAGGCTTGGGTCAGCTGTCGTAGCAGAAAGCTATACTACAGCGGCCTAACCAGGAACCTGTCTTTCTCAGGCACCAGGAGATCTAGAGGTAGGTAGTCTAGAGGTAACTACTATCTGAATGGGGCCATCGGGGATATGGGTTCTTTCTAGATTTTCACTCTTTTGTCTTTTGCACGTAGACCTTTATTTCCATGTTGTCATCTCAAGTTCACACAATGACTTCCGCCCCTCGAGGCTTCATGTGGCCCACTTCTCGCCTTCAGACTTGGCCCGTCAAACTGCCCATCTCCAGTAATTGCCTTGGCAGCCCCTGTAGCCCTGTCTCCCCGATATAATGGCAAAACCAAACAAACTGGGGCATTCCACTAGGGAATCAACCTATGCCACCAAACAGCAGGATACTTGGTTTCCTGCCCCAAGGTCCACTTCAAGAAGTATTCATACCTCTCCCCAAAACCCCCTGTTTTGTCATTCGTGTGGTTTTCCTCCCCTCTGCACTTCCTCTGCTGCACTGACCAGTGGATTATGTGCCCACGTTCACTCAGTCTTACCAGCAGCTCCTAGGCTCTCCCTCTTGCCTGCGATGATTTGTCTGCATTTTACACCCGTCCCTGCCAGCTTCGTCACCAAAGTCAGGTGCTCGGCCTTCAGTTCTGGCCTCCATTGTGATCAGTTCAAAGGAGGCAGTGGGCTTTTCCTCCAGACCCCTCCCCCCCTCAAACAAAACAAACAGCAACCAGCCCAGCTACCTCCTCCTCAGTCTCTTCCCATTTCACAACCTTGACTGATACCTGCCATGGAGCCAGCCCCTCGAGGCGCACTGGGGGAGATGAAAGAGCCCTTGCCCTTAACTCACTCCCCACAGAGGGCGGAAGGGTGGAGAATTTCTCCAGGTGACAGGAAGGGCTGTCATGAACACAGACACAGGGCATGAGTGGCATCGAGAAAGCAGAGATTGGTCCTGCTGAGATAAGTAAGGGAGGAGAAGATAAATGAAACTGGACCTAGAGAGGAGTGGGGGTCTTTTCAGACAAAATGGCATAAGATGGGCAGTTGGGTTAAGCAGAAGGCAGCCGTCTTTTGTGGATTATGTGCACTTGGAGAACTCAGCGATGGCATTTGACCTGTGAGAAAGAGAGTCCAGTTGATCTCCAACTTCAGCCCTCACTCCGCTATTTTAAACTGTGTTTTAAGTCCTGCAGTAATATTCAAACATTGCACCCATTGCAGAAGATGATACTAGGGAATACAAAAGAATATTAAAACTCCTTGGGAAGGTTTTTTTAGCACCTGTATTTAGATTTGTAATGAAACAAAAGTAAACAGTGAGATTCTTCTAAATCATTCCCTGTCTCTCGTGTTTTTGTTTCCATTACACTTGCTTCTAGATATTTCCTTCACTGTGGTGCTTGAGACTCTGAATTCTGCTGGTTTCCAGGAATGCTGTGGAGAGTCTTTGCCAAGAGAAATGTGTTTTCCCCTTAGGAAATTACACTTCTATTTGGTATTGTTTCTGATCGCTGTGTTGTGTTGTGAGCATTTCTGAGGAATAAAAAAGATGACTTCTTTGAGGCAATCACTGAAAGGCCAACTAGTATTTTACTGTATTTTTTTTTTTAAACCTACTTAGGTGAGAAATTATCAGGGGGAAAAAACAGAGTAGGAATAAAGATGGGGTGAGATACATTCCTTGATGAAAATTTTACTCTTAAAAATGTGATTTCTTACAAGTTATTTGAATTTTTTAACTTTTTCTGATTCAACAATGATAATATAGGAAAGTGCTTAAACCGTAAATGCTTACCTCCATGAAGGAGCATAAAGCAAGCCTCCCCTGTACCTCTCACCCAGCTCAGGAGTCACCATCACCTGGCCCTCGGAAGCCCTGCGTATCCAGAAACCCACCTCTGAGCTCGGTCAGGTTGTGGGCAGAACCCAGGTCGTGGCTTTATGACTGAGGTCCCCATTGCTGGCTGGCAGTCAGGGGTCCCTCCCAGCTCCCAGAAGTCACTGTCAGGCCCTTCCCATACGAGCTTCTTCACACCAGCAGCATGCACTTTCCCGCTCAGTGCTATGAGTCTGGCTTCCCTCCCACACCAGCCAGAGGAAACTCGGAGGTTGGAAGCCTTGTGTGATGGGGTTAGGGCGACCAGGATGATGTTCTTTAAAACCATCTGCTCTATAAAACGTAACTTGGTCTGGGAGTAACATCATCATATTCACAGGTTCTGCCCAACACTCCAAAGGGAGGGGATTACAGAAGGGCGAGGAATATTTGTGTCATACGAGTTCTGACTATCACAGACACCTGTCTTCTGAAATGCCACCTTTGTCAGAGATCTGCAAAGATGTGTGCTTCTAATGATTTACCTGTAAAAAATGGTGCTTGTAACACTCACCTCATAAAACATCCATCGGGTGCAGTTACACACGTTGCCTGCTGTGGTGCCTGACATTAGGTCATCATCCTGCTGACACCGGCTGATGAGCGAGCCAGGTGAGGGGAGCACGGGCACTTTTGTGAGACAGAGACACACACCTTGCCTGCCTCACACGCCTGTCTGGGCCTCCCTTCTCCCATCCTCTCATCAAGAAGCACTTGCCAAAAGGAGAGGGGGGATGGGAATTTACTGAAATCAATTTGACAGTGTTTTGTACAGTCTGTTCTAAGGTTTGGCTCTTCTTTTTTTTCTTCTTCTTTTTTTTTTTTTTTTAATATAGCTAATATTGCCTACCTCGGGGGCCAGGAAATGGTGCAGGTGGTGAAGAGAGACAACGAAACCATAAAGGAACACTTATCTAAGGTAATCAATCGCTTCAGTTCTGCAAGGACGTAAGTCATTGGGCAGAAATACTTACTGCAGATGAGAGACTGAAATTGGTTCAGATCTCTGTGAGGCCTCAAGGGTCAGATTCAGATAGAGCTCTGCATCTAGTTAAAATGAATGCTCTCCTTGAATGTTGCATAGAAAGTAAGTGGAGCTGATTGCATAATTAAATCTATTTTGCCACCTATTTTTGTTGGATTTATTTTTAGAATCCATACTCCTCTCTAGGGCTTTGTACTGAGAAGATTCTCAGCAATGCTTATGGAACAAATGAGTTGTTAAAATGTCAGTAAGACGTTGGAAGACAACTAACATCACTACACCCCAGTGACTCAGTGAGCCTGTCTTTCTTACTCTCCAGTGCATTCGAGTACGAGCGTCCTGCCGACACCAAGACCGGTTTCCTAGACAGGCAGGTGCACAAAGGCAAAGATTGAAACCTTTGGCATTTGTGAGTTTCTGCGGCAAATACTAGAAGCTTACACAGACCTTTGGAAGCCCAACCTCTGAATCTGTGAGGTCTAAGCACCCTGGCCTGTAGGTGGCGCTGGTGCTCCCATGGCATCATTTGTCCGTCTGTCCATCCTGAATAGGGTAGAGCTGCACTGTCCCTCCACGCGTGGTTATTGTGGCTAGTCTGAATTGAGATGCACCGAGCGTGTAAAATTCACCTTGGATTTCAGAAACTTAGTACAAAACTAGGTAACATATTTCATCAGTATTTTTATGTTGATTACATGTTGAAATGATATCTTATGATCTGTTCGGTGAAGTAAAAAACATATTACTAAAGATAATTTTATCCATTCCTTTATACTTTATTTTAATGTAGCTACTATAAATGTTTAAGTTCTACGTATGCCTTTATCTTTGTGTTGGACTCGCTAACTTGGAGCTTGGGGGTTAGTGCTGAGTTGGGACAGCTGCTGAGTGGCCGGCTCTTACAAGCCCAGGAGCCTATGGTCTGCAAGGGAAACCTACTGGGTTTACAGTCCCTTCATAAACTTTGAGGCATTTGACTTAAACTGGCAACAGTGTTAATTCACGTTTCTGTTACTTCCCAATACAGTTATCTTAAAGCAAGAAGTGTATATGTTCTTTAAAAAATAGTTTCACCCCAGCCAGCGTGGCTCAGTGGAGCGTCAACCTAGGAACCGGGAGGTCACAATTCAACTCCTGGTCAGGGCACATGACCGTATTGCAAGTTTGATCCCCAGTGGGGTGTGCAAGAAGCAGCCAATCAATAATTCTCTCTCATCATTGGTTTTTCTGTCTCCCTCTGCCTTCCTCTCTCTGAAATCAATAAAAACATTTTTTTAAAAGTTTTTTCCACAATATTGATCTGTAGTAGCATCACCCAGAGAGGACTTTTTGAAATGCCAGTTTGTGTTTGTCTTTGGCCATGATGGCCATCATATTTCTCGAATAGCAGTTGCGTAGAGATTGAAATTTTGGGTCCAGAAGGAAACCCCCACCGGCCGACCCGGGAGGTTGGGGCCTCAGAAGGACCTGTCTCCAGGCTTTCAACTTGTTTTCAGCCGTGGAAGGATGTGAAAATACAAGAAAAACAGGATTTTGTTTTTCCATCAAATTATAAATGAATTTGTTTCAGAAATGCATTTAAGTTCTCAAGGCTGGAAGTTCATAAAAACAACTCAGCTCCCAGTTAATAAGACTGGCAGATGCTCGCTTCCAAATCTCACACTTGCTGACTGACTCGACCCTCGTGTGTCCAAGCCCATCCTGCCACCTGTGGGAGCCAGCTGCCGTAAAATGCTCCTCATTCCTGGATTCTCTTTGTGCGCCGTGCTCAGAAAGAGGTCAGAGGAAGGTGCTAGCATATTCCTGCCCCAAGTTAGATCCATATGCAGGCGTAATCACTCCCAGATCGAGGTCTGCTCGTGTTAACTGCGTGTGAGGACTGTGAGTTTACTGAAACTTGCATGGGGGAAGCATGGGGATAGAATGCTAGATGGCAGGCGTTTCAAGGTCAATATTAACAGTCGGTCACGAAATAAACTTTCCCAGCTCCGAGCCTGGCTTTGTTTTGGTTTGAAGATAGCGTTAACTGAACTGGTGGAATGCGGGAAAGCAGGGCATTGGTTTGTTTAGGGGGGCAAAACTGCCTTGAAATTCATTGATTAGCCTTTGTAACAGCGAAGTTCCAATTCCTAAGTGAAACAAGGTACAGAAACAGGAACTTTTTGTTTTGTAATGAAAAAGAGAGGAAGCGTGCTGTAATTAATACTGGACAAAGTGGATTCGGCTCATGTCTCCGTCTGCTTGGGAAAACAAGGAAACGTAAAAGGACTTGTAATTCTAGGAAGATAGTGGGCATTGACTCCGCCTTCCCAACCACCTTGACCGTGAGTCACTCTGAGAACCACTTCCCAGGAGTGGACAGCTTCCTGGTCTAGGGGTTCCGGTCAGGATGTCCTGTCCCACCGCAGCCCAAACGTGGCCATTCGGAAGCCTCGCGCCTACCCAGGACTGCCCAGTGGGGAGGTTTTGAGCCAGACCTTTTGTTGTAGAAATCATTCACTATATCTCAGTTAGTCTGTGTTCAAAATAATTCTGAAATACATCTGTGTGCCATTCAATCAGGAAGTCCCAGGAAAGTTCGCCTAAAAATCGTCTCTATTGTATCATGTGGATGGCTTTTGAGTCCCTGCAGCCCCACCACAAAACAATCAGAGCATCAGGAGGCTTTGGTTCTGAATTCCAGTTCCCACCTCTGGGCTTTCCTTGTCTACATGAAGAGAACTTTTTGTCGTCTTGAGAAAAATTGGCCTTTTAACTCTACTGGGCTGGTTGTCTTCCTTCCTCCCACCCTCCCTCTTTCCCTCTCTCCCTCCCTACCTTCCTTCACTCTTTCCTTCCTGCCTGGGACTTGAGACTTGGTGTACAGTATCAAACCTCCTACTTGAGGTGCTTCAACATTACCTGAACTTACTTCATTTTCCTGGAGCAAGTATTGCAGGCCCACAGTTGTTTCCAGAAGAGTTACTGTGGCCTGTGGCGTGGTGGGTGTGTTCCTTCTTCACCTGATTAACCCTACCTGTCCTGTAAGACTTGGCTCCATCGTCATCTCCAAGAGGCCTTCCCCAGGCTCTGGTTTTGGTTGGATGTCCCTCCCTTGGTTCCCATGGCTCCCTCTGACACGTTTTGGTGTTGCTTCCATCACACAGTACTTAAGTGGCCTGCCTTCCCCTCTCACCCTCCTTGAGGGAAGGAGCAGTGTTTACTCATCAGTATCCCTAGGGCCTGGCCCAGTGGGTGATGCCTGCTGAGCAGTCAGTATGTGTACCCTAGCGGGTGGACAGGGACGCCCCGAGAGCTTAGCTTCCAAGCCTTTCCTGTGCCATGGGTCTCTTCGGCTCTCGAATATGGCCCCCTTCTCTGAATAATATGATTGAGTGCATAAAATAAATGTATGAGATTACAAAAAAATTACCTTGTAGTTATCAAAATAGCTTCAAACATTTTGTGATATATATCATATGTACATCTTTATTAACACATTAAATAACGAGATACAGTAGCAGTCAAAATTACTATTGTAAATTTGTACTGATAAGCATAAGTTATTTTCTGTTATCTACAATGAGTTTATTGTCATTTGAAAATTTCCATAATATTATAGGTGACAAAATATAGGTATTACTAATACTACTGTGGTTTGTTGCCATCGTTGATGGAAATACTAAATTATAGTTAGAGGTTAACAAAAATAAAGATGTAATCTTTTTTTTCATTCAAGTTTACATTGCGTGTGCGGACGCGCGCGCCTGTGCACACACACACAAACACACGCACACACACACACACACCGCCAACCACTTCTAGCCTTTGACCGGCATGGACCTAAAGACCTGTAGAATCCAAGGCACTTAGTATGAATGGGATATGAGAGTGGCGACAGAGGAGTCTATGGTGGTTTCTCTGTATTAGATAGGGAATATGAGACGAGAAGCGCGTAGTGGGAGATGGTCATTTGGTCACTTATGTTTGAGATACCTGTGGGACATCCACATGGACATTCTGGCAGGTAGGACATTCTGACGTGTGGGTATTTTGGAAGAGTGGCCTGAGCTGAGTTTGACTTGGGGGTGATGAGGCTCTATCGGGAGCCTGAGCGTGGGCCATAGTGATCTAAGGAGGTTGGTAGTACAAGGAGAGAATAGCCTACAGCCTGATCTGGGGGAACAGAGCTTGAAGGGTGGGAGGAGGGAGGAGAGAACGGAAATGGTGGGGGAGGGGCGGGAATGAGAACCGGGATGGAATAAGCCAGAGTCAGAGAGTCACCTGTACGTTCTCGCCGCCCGGTCCCGATTCCTCTGGGAGCCCCTGGGGTACGCTCCGCTTTATGAGGCACCTGGCGTGTCTGAGGCGAGCGGGAGGTCAGCGCTCCGGCTCTGTCATTGTTCTGAGCTGTAAGGGATGTGGCCCATTCCTAGGGAAGTGAGTTTGTGTTTGATTTAGAAACTTGAAGTTTTCATTTAAAACTCACTTAGGAGGGAAATCCTACACTGCGTGACCACGTTTGGCCTGGGCCTATGGAGGCAGCTGTGTGCGCTGCCGCCAGGCTGAGCCTGAGCCTGAGCATCGCTGTCGGTCCACGGGGCCTGGAGCTGCTCCAGCCAGGACACAGGACACAGGACACAGCTTTCTGATGAGGGCGGGTAGCGCTGGCGGGGTTGCCTGCAGAGCGGGGCTGCCCCGGCCCCCAGAGGGCCAGGCCAGGGCGACAGCATGGGGTGGGACAGGGGCAGGAGCGGGAATGCCTCTGCCGCGGCTCTCTCCCAACCCTGCTCGGCCCACCTGAGCCGAGGTGCGTGTTTCCTCGGGAACAAGCCTCTGCAGCGATTGCAGATGTGAGCATGCAAATCCTTCAGACATGCGCAGGCCCTGCTCAGCGGAGCGTAGGGAGCGCGCCCAGGACCCGCTCACCAGGACCGCCTTGCCGCCAGGCCTCG